TTTAAAACATATAAATAAGTTACCCGGGCAATTGATTTACATCAGCCAATCAGACGAACTTCTTCCTATGATATATATATACCAGTAACTTGAATTCCAATAGTAAAGATTTCTGCTAAATCCTTTTTATTGAAGTGAAGCTTATTATAAAAATCGTCCATCATGTCCTTTAATTCAATCTTTAAAGCAGTAAGATCAGATTGTATCTTAAATTCATCATACTTCATATCGGTGTTGCCAGCTTCTACTGTCATAATTTCTACATTAAAGTTTCGCAACTCCAAAGACATGTCTAACTTAGTAGTATCCGTGTTTAATTTTATATATTCAGCATTAAGCCTTTTTCGTTTTCGGGAATTGATTGCATTACATATTTTTTCAATCCTAAAAATTTTTACAAATATAACAAATAAATTCGCAAACATTAAACACATGAAAAATGCTTAAATGTATATACCAAAATAATTCGAAATGTCCGATGTTAAATTCTTGCAGTAAATCTCCAAATAATGGGCCTAAGATCGTTAATATATAATCACGCTCCCTGAGTGGAATTGTTAAGATGTTGATCTCACGACGACAACATTTATGGCTGTAAAAAATAAATTGTTTTAGAAAACAAACAGCATCAAACTAATATCTTAAATTAGATACTTACAAGAAAGAAATTATTTCAGATGCTAATATAGCATCTTCAGAACCGATAATTGAGAGTTGAGTTTTCCACTCTTGTAAATCATTCAAATTTCTCTGCAATTAATTGTATTATTGATCGTTACATGACTCTTACGAAAGACAGGAAGAACCGTCAATGTTGCGCAGCTAATCCAACAGGCGAAGGATTATACCCATAACATTAACGATAGGGTGATCCAATATTGTAAAATAATTTTTTATGAACCGCGTACCAGGTGAGGGATTAGTTGTGCAACATTCCTGTTCTTACAAAATAACAAATTCAATTGTTACTTATTACCAAATTGTTTGACGGGTTATCAATGAAATCCAAAACTTTTTTATCTATTTTTTCCTTATCCAATTTCTTATTAAACGATTTCATTAATGCGACTTTGTCTTCATGCTTTAATATCCTGGACCATTCCAATTTTGTCCAATTGGTAAGATCTATAATGCGAGATTCAATTGATCTGTAATTATGTGTTAATTATATATAAAATCATCGTTTATATGCTGAATCATTATTAAAAATCATGTCAGCATTGACAAAGACTTACTGCACTCTAATTTTGTTATTTTTCAAACGTTCTATTACTATACTCCAAATGTCTTCCAAGCTTTTTGACATTATAAATTGTTTTATCTGTAAATAACAACCAAATTTATTATAAAGAGTCGTGTTTAACAAGATCAGAAGAACTTACCATATCGTTTGTCACTCTTTCATATAATTTACTCTTATCCACTTCATCAGCAATAATTACATCTTCATTTACTTTTTCATTGACGTCGTCCTATAATTAAAATATTTTTAAACTTTAAAATTGTGAAAATTTTATAATATACTGACAGACTCACCTTTGGTTCCGTATCTTGAAAGACACTTCCATCTTTCTGGGTTCTTTCTTCTTGCACTACTACTATTGCTTCAGAAAACCTTTATATAAGATTAAGTTAGACATAATCGGCAGAAATGATTCCATGTGATTTTTAAAAAAATACCATTGCTTTTCCGAACTACTGATGTCGTTGACAAGTGATGTTTTTATATTTGTCTGAAAATTGAAATTGATTATAAACAGGCCATTGATGAATTAGAAGTAAAAAAGTGGTCTCAATTTTGAATCACCTTAGCTAGTAGTTCACTAAGTGATAAACGAACTTTGGACTCCGCAATTTCTTTACTCCTGCTCCAGATAATATCATCTATTTCTGACGATTTACTCTTGAGTTGACAGGAAGATTGAAAAAAAAAGGTAGAACAGTTAGTTAATTCTTTAATATTATTGATTGTAATATACAGCAATATATTTTGGACAAAGTAATTAGGTTGCACACACGAAAGAATCATAATAAATGAAGCCATCGTGCTTCTCCTCCCCATCAGGTTAGAACGCACCCAACCTTCCTCGAACGCACCGAGGGGCGTAGTACATCCTGGTCGACATGCACACACGAAAGAATCATATAAAAAGTGAAACCATCGCGCTTCTCCTCCCCATCAGGTTAGAACGCACCCAACCTTCCTCGAACGCACCGAGGGGCGTAGTAACATGTCGACAAACAGTTTATACATTTCACATAAACTGACCTTCAAACGTTTCTGTAACGACTGCGATTTCTCAATTACCCTTTGATCAGATGACTTTGAGAGGGCCAACAACTCGATCGCTAATGAAGTATGAGCTCGATCCCGATCTTGATATAAATTTGGATTTTGTTGAATCCAAAAAATGTCAAACGATTCAACAGACCAATTCTGAAAATTGGTGCTTAACCAATAGTCTGTAGAACAAAAGCTAAATAAGTATTCTAAAACCATGTGTATGTACAATAGTTGACATAAATGTGATGCTTACCTTTATAGTGGAGATTAGGTGGAATTAAAATCTGGGTAGAATTGAATTCTAATACTTTATAGAAAGTTAATATTTAAATTGGAGAAAATGAAATAAAAATAAAAATTCACATATCAATCGCGTAATCACGATGCCTTTTTTTTTTTTTGCTTACCACTGGACGAATCCATTGCTTCGCGACACGACTTTAGCAGAAAATAAAAGCACAAGAATCAGGAAATAAACGCGTCAATTATAAACAAGTTCAATAGGAGGCGTTTACTAATTTTCCCCAAAGTTTCTGATTCTGGCCAATCAGAATGCAAGATCAGGCGTAACGTGAAGATCAAAACAATAATCGCTTTTTTTCGAAAAATCACATTTATTTCAAAATTTCGCCTAAATCACCTTTTTGGCACTAACAAAAAAAATTCCTTGCAAAATTTTGGTATATTGTTGCTTACTAGCGCTAACCCCAAACCCTAACTTAGGTGTCACATTTTAATTAGGTGACATGTAAACTGGTGCGAATAATCCCAGCCAATAGAAACTTTGGGGGAAATTAGTAAATGCCAATAGGAGAACGTTACGGGACACATGAAGATCAAGGAACCCAGTGATTATCACTAGGGTGTCTAGGATTATGCTACTAGCAGAATTTAGCATAATTCGAGTTTGCTAGCATAATTATGCTAGCAGAAGAATTTGGAATAATTTATATTTATTAGCATAAAATTTAGCATAATTTGAGTATTATTAGAAATAAAAGATGAAATCACTAAGAGGGTGTTTTATTTTTCAATTTTAGCAGTTGCTATGTATTGTTACAAGAACAATATCTATTATTCGACAGGTTAGCATGATTATATTTGTCATATGTAGTCAGGTTTTTCATGTAATAGTATTGCAGGTCTCTATATATGTTCTGAATAGCTTGTCAACGAAGTGACTAAGAGTTCATTATTGCGAAATCAGATGACTTTGTGGATCACTTGCTTAAATTGTAGGTTTAGCCTTTTATGGGATATAATGGTGTTGTATTGTTCTCGTTGGATCAGGTTTAGTTTATGATCGCATATGATTGTGTAGTGGCGGATGGATATAAATGTCATATAGTTAGCAATAAAGTTAAGGGGTTTTTCATATGGTTCAATTGTGATTTAGATCAGTGGGTTGGAAGGAGATGTTAGCACATTTAAAGGTGGATGTTTTTAGTAAAGGAGTTTATCTTTCTCTTCACTATCGCTCGCCTTGCGGGAGGCTGGCTCTATTGCTCCCCATCCCACCCACTTGGCAGTAACCCTTGAATGATTAAATGCTTGTTGGTTTACTGGTAGACAAGGTATATTGGTGAGTAATTCCGGACTCTGGCCGCGCTAACGATACAAAGACTTGTTCTGCTCTTGATTTGTATCTATTAAGCTCCGCAGCTGCAGCTGCAGTGCAAGGACTTGTTTTTTTGTAGGATTAGGCTTCGAGGCTGCGGTAGCAGTGCGAGAACCTTAGTCATTGGGATCCACGGCTGCGGTGTTGGTGCGAAACCTTGTTTTTGTAGTAACTGAGCTCTGAGGCTGCAGTAGCAGTGTGAGGACCTTAAAAGTTGGCTCCGCGGCTGCAGTAGAGTGCAAGGACCGTGTTTTTTGGCTCTATGACTACCGTAGTAGTACATGGACCTTTGCTAAATAGGATGTAAGTGCAAGGACCCTTCGTTAAGATAAGCAGCATCCACATCGTATTGTTTAACTGATACTCTTCTTACCTATAGGAAATTTTCTCATTTGTTTCTGGGTGACCTTCCTTCATATTAGTATTATTAAAGAGTTCCGGTGGCAGAATGGTGTGTGGGGCAGTTATAGAGGACTTGTAATAGTAGTGCTGACTTAGGAATTCATGTAGTTGTAACGGATAGAGCTTGAATCGATGGCGAACATTGTCTTTAATAAAGTCATCTGATTGAGTAATAATAATTTCTATTAATCGTGTAATTCAAGTGAAAAAGAAATCCTGTAATAGAGATCTATTTTCGCATAAATTTTAGAGTTTAATCTTCGAAATGCAATATTTTATTTATTAATATCAAAAAAAAAGTAATTGCACAAGATTGGTGATCTGTTATAAAGCACTGGTGGAGGAATAAATTTTGTCATTATTTAATTATTCTAGTCTTTTTTTTTTTTTATTCTTTTGTAATTATACTTAGAGCAAGTTAGGATTATAATCTATCAGTATTAAGCAAAAATGGCATTATTCTTTGTATGAACAGTGCATCGTTAAAGTCGTTAATTAGCAATTCAAATCCATCTTTCTCAATATATTACTACACCTGGTTTATCATAGTTGCTTTGCGCAGTTATCAAATTCATTCTTTATTAACTATATAATTAATTTACTAAAAAGTTTTAAATAGTTTATTATTGATTGAAAATAAGTTAATTATTAACTGCTATAAATAAAGATCCTGTAAAATTTTTTGCCACATTTGAATTTTTCAAGAATATAAGTAGCGAATGAAGCTAGCCTAATAAGTAATAGTAATTTAATGCATTTACATTTGATTTCTACGTTATCAATGACATTATTAATTTTTTTCTTGCAAATATTTAATAAATTTTTTCTAATTATCTATTTCTACTCTATATTTATTTTTATACCACCAGAAGTTTCAGCTGCTGAACGTGCCCACCAACGAGAATTTTCAGATGACTTTTATGCAAGTGGCATTCGCCTATTTTGTCACT